TGAAATTAATGCCACTGTCTGTTTTGTATTTGCAAAATATTGGTCTCAGCGTTTGGTTTCCTTTTGCAGCAATATATTCATACACTTGAGGCCTCACTCCAGGAGGAAATGTCACGACATGCCCCTCTATATGGTGCTGGTTTGGAGGCTTTATCACTGAAAGAGTTGGAAACACTATCACGAATTCATGAAGATGGGCTTAGGCAGATCCATGCCCTTCAACAGCGCAAGGGGAGTCCTGCTGGGAGCCCTCTAGTGAGTCCCCATGCTCTCCCTCACAACCATGGATTATATCCAGCTGCCTCACCCCCAATGGCCGTGGGACTTCCTCCCTCAATCATCCCAAATGGTGTAGGGATCCACAGCAACGGTCATGTCAATGGTGCAGTTGGACCCTGGTTTAACCACTCTTGAATTCTCTCTCTCTCTCTCTCTCTCTCTCTCTCTCTCTCTCTCTCTCTCTCTCTCTCTCCCGTCATAGAATGTTATTCTTTTCCAGTTATTTCTTTGGCATTTTCTCTGATAGAACTGTTGGATCTGAAGGATTAGAAGAAGGGTTGTTGGGTGAAATTTTGCCTTACAAATGTTAATCCAGTGGAACTATCAGTTGCAAATGCCGTACTCATTTGCGCTTACGTCTTTTTGAGGGGAAAAAATTACTTACAGGCTTTTTTAAAGTTTCCATAGTTATAGCTTACTCTTATTACATAGTTTGGCCAAGTGGTTGAATCTATTTTATCCTGGGCCACAAGTTAAGCGCTGTAAGAAATCTTGTCTGACAGTTTTTAATACGTAATCAACAAAGAAAATCCTTTTTCCTCTGATTACGCTATTGTTGCTGTTATGCGTTTTAGATATTTATGTATACTTAAATATTCATTTTCTCTCATAGTTGCACTTTCATGATCTATATTCATTGATTATATTAGTAAAGAGAATTTGTTCTTGGACTTTTTTTCTTCCAATTCTAGTACCATTTTTTTTATTATTTCCTTTACGTAAGTTATTCTTTACGCATGACATACATAGTGAACGTCTTCGCAGAAGTTGATCCAATCTCTATACAAAATACTAATATCAGGATCAATTTGTATTTTTCCTAGCCCGTGATTCTGCTAGCTATTGAAGCAGGCCTTAATACTGCATGTTTCATCTGATTTAAAAATTTAAATATTTGTTGTTAATGGGGATAGTATTTAAAGCATTTTAATAGAGTAATTTACTTAAAACACTGTAAATTTTGTATGTTATTCATTCCTTGCATCTAATATTGGGTTTACAAGAAATATAGCACACACGAAGCTGGGACATTCACCGTTCAGCCTGAGAATTAGGACCAACAGCCAATTTGGTTTAATTTTAGCCAAGATAAAAATGAATTAATTCAAATAAATTCATTTGGTTTCATTTATAATGTGTTTGGTCAAATGTGACTATAACTCAGTTCAGGTAATTGACTCTTTCCGCAAAAATGTTGGTCTTTTTTCTTCTTTTTGTTATAATGAGATTTACACATTAAATTTTGACTTAATTATACTGTTTCTAGCGGATTTAGAGACTAAAAAACAATTTTTTTATAAATATTTTATAGATTAAGAACATGATTTTTTAATAAAAAATGCTTAACAAAACTGTAATTAGGTCAAAATTTATATAAACTACCCAAAACTAAACTTGATCGGAAACGGGAAGGTAAGTAAAGTCTGACCAAATCAATAATTAAACTTGAGATTATCTGAACAATTCAATTTTGTATCCGACTTATTAACCCTTTGTACTTAATTTCTTGGTTATAAGAAAATTAAAAAAAAATGATGAGATATGAGAAGTAACTCTATGAATTTAAATTATGAAATAATGATCAGATTTTGTGAATTTAAATATGAATTAGACATGGACTCGTGCCTTACATAGTTTATCAAAATTTCATAATTTTTATATTATATTTTAAATATATGTATATCAAAATTTAGTAATATTGTAACTATTATTTTGGAATGTAAATATCAAGAATAAATATATGATAATTCTTATACATTAATCATATAATATTTATAGTTGTTAGTTTACTATGAGTTATATTACAAACTTGTGTTCACACCACTCTATCAAAGAAAATATTGCTAAAATTAAGTGTTGACATTATGTACAAAAATAAATATCATGTAAAATGAGTTTTGTAAGGATGAAATTAAGGTAAATGCAGGTAAAGATATGATTTATTATTAATATGATATTAAAATAGAGTAAATAATATTTGGTAAGAAAATATGGTTAAAAACCATGGATGAAGCAAAAATGATATTAAAATGAATACAATGTGAAATACAAAGGATTAACATTTAAAGTTTTAGTTTTGATCATAGATTATCATCCGAGAACCTTTAAGAGCTTTGATTTTGATTATTTCATTCTTCAATTATCTCCTTCACTATGAAAGGGATTTTAAGCATGACCCATGTATTGATATTTTAAATTTTACTCTCCTTAATGCACTTTGAACATATTAATAGTTGTGTATATAAATTTACAAATTTACTTTTCTCGCATTACTCACTCACGCATGCACGCGCACACACAATTAGATTTTTATAAAATATACTTTCGTTATTATAGTTTATTATAATTAATATCAAGAAATTGTAATTTTATTTATATTTAATTGATGCTTACATATCCTAAATAACATATTAATTTGTAATTAAGAGTTTGGTTAAAATGTTAGTTACAGAAAATAATAAATGATATGTAATTATTATTTATTAATTTGTTATGAAAGTTGATGCTTCATGATAGAATATGTTTCTTTTCTTTTTTTGTAGCTATTCCTATGACACAGTGAACACTGAACAAAAACTATCACAAGTAATGGAGGCTCACTACAAACTATCATGAAGCAGTTCTCTTTTTTTGCTACACATAAATTAAAATAACTACCTTGATGAAAGCACGACTATAAAATAATGTTGAATTGAAAATCTTGTGACTAATGAAAACTCAACATAGAATATAACGAAATTAAAGCAAAAAGGACATCATAGGTTTAAATTACTCCTACCCAATAAAACTATAATCTCAATTTCAATTTCATTTCATATTGGAGAGTCATCATGATTGTTATAGATATTAGAATGAAGATAAGAATTCAGTATGCTAAAGTGATGGTAGTGATCAATATAAAGAGACATAGTATCTAAACTAATATGTGAAATCTAACAAAGAAGTTCTATTTATGAAATTGAGTAAAAAAAATTAATTAAATTTTAGTCTGTTATGTTAGTGAATTTTATATCTCAACTAAAGAGTATTAAAAGATATCAGAAGAAATCACACCTACTATTTTGTGTGACGATGTTTGCTATATATTACCCTTTGACTTTAATATCACCAATGATCCAATATTGTTATTAACCATCTGAAACATTATACAATGTTAGTTAAAAAGTATTCTTATGAAAGTTAAGTGAATGTTTTTTTTTTTTTATCAAATTGAATTATCTCATGTTCTTCATTGACGTTCTCCAAACATTTCGATTGCATACATGGATTGGAAGTTTTGGCAAAGTCACAGTATAATGTACACTCCTAACACATGATTTGGGGATGATTTGGTTTTGACAAAGAAGCCACGACTAGTGAAGGTGAAGATTTAGAGGGTTTTGGGGGTGACCATGAAGGTGGTGAGACTATTGCACATAAACAATGAAGGAGTGATTGTCGGGGTAGGGAGGTCGCAATGGATGATAGAGGTAACAAAGGTGCAACTATCACGATTTTTTGCTTCAACAAACTCGTTGAATTGAGTGTGAGGTGCAATCATCGTGAGTATGCGACGAGAGTTCAACCATTGATTTTTGCTTCAATGGAGAATGATGAGTATGAAAGGGGTGAGTTGCTGATAGAGGAGAATGGTGGCTATGAAGCTCCTTAATAGGAGATCTTATTTAAAAAGTTAATTCAAATATTTAAGCGTTATTTATAATATGGGAATATTAAATTTATGGTTATGAAGATATATTATTAAAATAAAACACTATAAAATAACAAATATTTTTTATTAACATGATAATATTTTAAATATATTTTAGGATAATATATTGACATAATACAAAGTAACTTAACTTTTATATTATAAATAAATTTATATATTAAAAGTCGTTAACTTAAGTAATTTGACACTTTAATTCAAATAATTTAACATTTGTGATTTTTAATTAAATATCATAACTTGATTTCTATATGTAACAAAAAAAAATTTAACCTATATTCAAAATTTAAATAACAAATTAAAAAATTTCAATTAATTTTTTATTTTGAAAATCAGTTCGGTTCAAATCAGCTAACATCACCACAAACCACCAAAAGTTATAGCTTTGGAGTATATTCAAGCCTCAAATTTTCATATATTATCAACAAATTGAACAAAAGACGATGCGTAGCTAGCTATAATGAGAAGGTGGCGCCCTGGCGGCGTTAGTTTCTTAAATGAAGAAAACTATCAAACTAACAGTATTTTTAAATTTAAATAAAATTTACAAAAAGAATGTTTGTAATATAAATCAAGAGTTAAGAGTTGAAACTCACCAAAAAAATAATAAATAGTAAAAAAAAAATGTTAGAAATCAAGTGTTGTTAACATTTCCTGTAAAAATTTTAAAAATACTTCCTTTATCTCTATATGTAAGACATTCTTTTTAAGATTTGTTTGCATATTTTTATAAGACTCTTTTGACTTTTCAAGTGATTTTTTACATTAATTACTTAAATTATAACTCTCTTATATGAGAGAACATCACTTGCACACATTAATTAATTAAGTGAAAAGAGTGAGATGGTAAGTTACAATAATTTTAGAAATAATTTTGAAAATTAGATAAATTATAAATTTAACACTAATGACTATTAACACATTTTACTAGGGAGTTACATTACATGTTTCCGTTGAATACTATAAATGATCAACTTTCCAATTTAATGTGATCGTATTTGGAGCCTAAAATACTCTAAAAAAAGAAAAACACAAATCACTAAATATTTACTTAACTATATGCTTGAGAATGAGGACAAATTATCGGAGATCTATGTCTAATCTCCTGAGCCATATGGAATGTAAGATCATGTGAAAGACATCAAATCTCTTAGCCGGTTGATTCAGAGTAAAATGTCTCCTCACAGCCGTTACTCCATTCTTGAGCTTTCGGTACTCTCTCTCTGAAATTGCACTGAGCACCTCTTTCAACCTTGGAATATCTGAAACATCCACCTGCACTGAAAACCCCTCCCATCGCAGCACGTCACTGAAGGGAAGCGTATAATTCTTTGACAGGATAACGGGCACACATTCGGCGTAAATTGACTCCACGATTCTGGGGCTAGCCACTTCATACCCACTTGGACAAAGGCAGAACTTGGAATTGAGCATGAAGGAATAGTAGTCTAGGTCTTGGTCTTTCGGGAGATACTCGTAGACACGTATATCGTCGTCTCGGTTTTTCCAGTGGTGGAGCAGGATGGGTCGAATTGGGCCGTGCATGCCACCGGCGAAGAAGGCAGTATAGCGGCGTGGAGCATTGTCCGGTGGAGGTGAAAGGAGTTTAGGGGATACTTCGCCTCCGTGGAGGTGGATTTCCGGTAGAGGTACATCCTTTAGAGGGTTGAAGCCTTCAGAAGTGTTGGCATTGCATAAGACACGGATGGAGGTGTTGTAGAGGTAAGGGTTTCCGTCTGATGCATAAGGACCCTGCACGAATAATAAGACAACATATAATGCATGTTTTGGTTCGAGAGTTGTAACATAATTGAAACGTGAGATGTATGTGTGGAAATTCAAATAAAACATGAATGCATTAACATTAAATAGTGGAGAGGGATCGAGGAAAAGTTGTATAGAAAAGATTGAACAAACCCAATCATGACAAGCAACCATGAAGTGGTCGGCACCACGAGTTTTATTCCAGAAGGGGTACTTGGTAGATATCACTCTCACGAAATCAGAGACAAAATGCTTTAAAGGAGTTACGTCGTAAGAGTCTGGTGTATAGAGGTACTTGACCATCCATGTGACGCTGAATGGAAGAAAGTAAACGTGAGCCGCAGTGGGGTCGTTGGTCCTAAACCTCCCAACCCCATATTCCAACTCATGAAGGAACCTCCCTTCAATCGAGTATATGTCCTTGCACGGGCCGTCGTGAACAATTGGTAGGTCCCCATCTGGGTATACGTATACCTTAAATATCTTTTCCATCTCCAAGTAGCTCCTGCAATAATATATAACCACAAGAAGTTAATTAATTAACCGTTTTATTCCCTTTTTCCAAGAAAACTGAAATTTTCTTGCAGATATGTTGGTGGAACAACATGGTCCTATATGTCAGGACTTCGAGTATATAGCTATGGATTAAATATTAATTTTCAATGGATTTTGGCTATTGTGTACTGATGATCGGAATGTAGAAAGATTTATTTCTTCATTGTTTCTCTTCTTATTATTGCATAAATATGTTTAGCTGAACTAGTACACTTTTATATATATATATATATTAATTACTTATTGGAAAATATATTTCTCTTTCTATTCTGCATCTCTTGTGTATAAATAACGTTTTGTTTCCAAATTATTGTTACTTTTGCATTAGAAGCCATGTGATGTCACTTTTAAATTTGAAAAAAAAATGCTTAAATAATAAAAATGATGAAACAAGGACACACACCTAATGCTATTAGATACCTAGAGTTTACTCTTGCCAAATTATTATTACTTTTGCATTAGAAGCCATGTGATGTCACTTTTGAATTTGAAAAAAAAAATGCTTAAATAATAAATATGATGAAGCAAGGGCACACCTAATGCTATTAGATACCTAGAGTTACACTGTGTTTGGTTGCATGGAAAATGTGAAAATTAAGGGGAAATAGGATTAATAGATGAGTAAAATTGAGTTTGTGTTTGGTATGATTAAAATAGAAAAGGAGGGAGAAATATATATATATGTATATAGGGAGCATATCAAGTGAGAAGAATTTATTGTGAGAAGGTGAGAAGGTTAAAATATAACCCTTAGATTAATTTTCTCTCATTTGATTAAATCCCAAATTTTCTCTCACTTGATTAATCTAAGGGTTATATTTTAACCTTCTCACCTTCTCACAATAAATTCTTCTCACTTGATATGCTCCCTATATACATATATATATATTTCTCCCTCCTTTTCTATTTTAATCATACCAAACACAAACTCAATTTTACTCATCTATTAATCCTATTTCCCCTTAATTTTCACATTTTCCATGCAACCAAACACAGTGTAACTCTAGGTATCTAATAGCATTAGGTGTGCCCTTGCTTCATCATATTTATTATTTAAGCATTTTTTTTTTCAAATTCAAAAGTGACATCACATGGCTTCTAATGCAAAAGTAATAATAATTTGGCAAGAGTAAACTCTAGGTATCTAATAGCATTAGGTGTGTGTCCTTGTTTCATCATTTTTATTATTTAAGCATTTTTTTTTCAAATTTAAAAGTGACATCACATGGCTTCTAATGCAAAAGTAACAATAATTTGGAAACAAAACGTTATTTATACACAAGAGATGCAGAATAGAAAGAGAAATATATTTTCCAATAAGTAATTATGTGATGTTGTTCTAAAAAAAAAGAGTAATTATGTGATGAAGATAAATAAATAGGGAAAAGACAAATATGGATAAAGATTATTATAAAAATTAATTTCCTGTACGAATAACGTAAGTTATTCATTCAATTTTCTTTTTTTTAATAAACAAACTTTTATTTTCTTTATAACATTTATAAGCTGCATACTTAGCCTTGGATGTACAAATATAGCCATGTTATTCAGGGACACAATGTTAATGGTGACAATAGTACCATACAGCAAAGGATCTTTTTCGCATAAATTTTTATAAGTATAATGACTGTATGGAACTCTGAAAGCGAAAGTATGCTAGCGCATGCACTTCGCACCCCCTATCTCAAGCTATCTCTGTTGCAAGAACAAGAGAATTTATTGATCATAAATCAATAACATCATGACATGCCATATATGGGGGTCTCTTGTAAGCGAGAAATATTAATTAATTATATGATGATTTGGGATATATACCATCTTTATTTCAGCCAATTTCCATGTAACATGTAGTTAAAATTTTCAGTTTATCAGGAAAATTTGAGTACATCTAAGATTGGTGACTTCAAATTATACAATAATTTTTTCTCATTAGCAAAAGCAAGCCATGTGAATAAGATTTCTATGATTATTATTATTATTATTATAGGAAAAATTATAAATGGACACTCCATCCTCATTTAACACTTAGAAAAAAATTGTAAATATAATACAAGTTATAATTTGATAGGAAAAGCGAAATAAAAATAACAAATTATTATTATTGATGCTAATAAAATAGGATAGAAGAGTACTGGTAAAATATGCTAGGGTTACGATAAACAGTTCCAGCGGGAATGTCGTTATCGTGTGTTGTTGGCGTAGTGAGATTCTTTCCAGCTAAGCGCATTGCAGCTCTTGCTCGCGCTAGTCCTTCTTCTCGCTTTTCTTCTCTACTCTTCTCATTTCCTACTTCCCTCTGTTAACAACAACATAACATAATCATCATTCATCCATCCTATAAATACGCATAACATAAGTGCAACCTGCATATATATAGAAACAAATCAATGCAAACTAACACCGATCGATCCACAATAGATTAATATATAGTAATGCCTATCTTATGCGAAGAAAGAAACTAAAAATCTAACCTACATTGCAATTTTCTATAAGATTCAATTCACAGCTAGCATATATAATGAGAGTAGAGAAAATCAAAAGGCACACATATGCGTGAGAGATAGAGGAGTTTACGATTACGGTGTTATTTGAGTGAACGGCGTCTCCAAGAGCATGAAGTTGTTGAGTCTCGCCGGAAAGCTGTCTTCGAAGAGGAACGGAATATTCTAGATTGGATTCGGTGAATCTCATGAACTGCCATGGAAGTAGCCATTCAATGAGGATCAACGATGGAAAGAGCAACAAAATTCTGAATAGAAACAATAAGCGCCTTCGACAAATTTTCATTGTTTAATTTCTCTTTCTTTTTTTTTTTTTTTTGAACTTTTGATCTTGTGCGTGTGTTTGTAGTAGATTGGTTGCTGAGAGAATGAAGTGAGGTGTGAAGATGAAGTATGTATGTGATACGAAATCTCTGTTTCAAACTTTGTGCAAGCAGTAGTGGATGGATGTAAAGTGTGAACTCACGCGGATGCAGCGACCCTAATGACTCTCTTGACCTCGCAAGTGTGTAAAGCACGTGATCAAAGTATCAAACACACATTTCTTACTCTAATTATTATCAAAAAGCTATAACTTCTTTTCCCGCTAAAACACGGTATGAATTTATTTTTTTTTCCTCTTAAATTTCTGTGCAGGTTTAATTTGTGGGTGACGTCTACCATTTTTTTTTTATCACGTCTAGGATACTCTTTATCTTCCCTACTTTATTTCTATCCTTGTTAAATTTCTCAGTTAAATCCGTTTTAATTATTTTTTTAAGTGATAAAAGAATAAAAACAGAATAGATTTTGTATATATATTTGATTTTTATCAAACTAACTTATTTTAATATTTGATTTTTCTCTAGAAAAGGTTAAAAAAAAAATTATACACCTACACAAATTTTTTTATTTGTGTTAATTATTTTTTTGTTTGATTTTTTTTCATAAAATCTAATTTTAATTAATATTTTAACTATATATTGTATAAAACAAGTATTGTATTAAATTTTATAATAATTATTAACAACTATTATATTTTTATTTTTTGTCATGAGTATCTTCTTGCTCAACCAAATAATAATTTCATTGGCTCAAAAGTGTTTTTTTGTATATAATAGGAATTGAATATGAGATTTCCTACTAAATAGATCATCCCATAATATATATGTTATTAGCTCAGCTTATCACTACTAGAATTTCTCTTATTACATGCAACTTTTCCTGCGAATTTTTTATAAAAATTTGCAGGAAACGTTGTTCCTGCAAATTTTTCTGCGAAATTTTATTTGCAGGTAATACCTTCGTGGATAATATATTTTTGCGAATTTTAAAATTCGCAGGAAATTTTCTTGCGAAATTTTCTGCGAAAAAAATTCGCAGGAAAGTTTCCTGCAAAAAAAAATTTGCAGGAAATTTTCCTGCAAAAAAAAATTCGCAGGAAAATTCGCAGGAAACTTTCCTGCGAATTTTTTCGCAAGAAATTCTGCAGGAATATTTTTTACGAAAAAATTAAAAAAAATTATTATAAATTCTATATTTTAAGAATTCATAATCTTTTATTTTCATGCCTCATACATAATCTTTTAAATTCTAAGATTGTAGATTACAAGTCTAACACTCAACCATACAATTCTACTTGTAAGGTAAGTGTTATTCCAACTTATATACTCTTTAATTGTTTTATTTTCAATCGATGTGGGACTTGAAGATTTTTTAAAATATTAATCTTATTAATTTAAATATATTTTTTATTTTTCCTGCGAATTAAAATTTGCAAGAAAATCCGCAGGAAAAGTTACCTGCAAAATTTTTCTACCATTTAGTAAACATTACTTGCAAATTTATTTTTGCAAGAAATCTGCAAGAAACAAAATAAAATTCTTACAATATTTTCTGCAAATTTTTACCATGAAATTTTTTTTCCATGATTATTAAAATTGTAGCAAAATTTGTAAGAAATATCTGTAAATTATTTTTTGTAGGAAAATTCGCAAAAAATTTCTGCGAATATTTTTTTGTAGGAAAATTCGCAAAAAATTTTCTGCAAATATTTTTTTGCAGGAAAATTCGCAAAAAATTTCTGCAAATATTTTTTTGCAAGAAAATTTGCAAAAAAATAACACTTTTCTAGTAGTGTATGTTACATTTTCAATTCAATCTATTAGATATAAAATGTTTGGAATGCAAGTATTATAAAACTAGTTAATAAACTAATTAATAAATATAAAATGACATAATAAGTTCTATACATATATATTTGAATTTATTTCTAATAATTTATTGTACACTAATTTTAATTTTTTATTATTATAAAAGAATGGTGGGGTTTTGATAGTTGTGTTTAATTCTTATCAAGTTAAAATGAAGGGAAAAAAACACATAAAAAGGGAGTAAAGTTAATTAATGAAGATAAATAAAAAAGTAACTTATTTATAAGCCATTAACCAATTAAAGTAGCTTATTAAAATAATCAAGTAATAAGTTATTAAAATAAACTTATTTATTAAATAAATTTATTTTAATAAAATCACTTATAAGTGTTTAAAGTGACTTTTTAAACATAACTATCGAGTGTGTTTAATAAAATTAACTCATAAACTAACAGAAACTTTATTGGTAAAATTTTGAAAAAACTCAAAGTTTATACCAAATTAGCTTATATTGTAGTCAAATACATAACGCAATCATATTGAATTTGAATTAAATTTTGGATCTATCTATATTGATTGAATGCTATCAAACTAATTAATAAGCTACTAAAATGATACATTTTTATTTAACCATTATAGAATGTTTATATTCATTATGTTATATATGTGCTTATTTTTATAAAGAGGCTAATCGGTCTCTAGAACTAATTAAAGAGAAACCCTGCAAAACTCCTTGAGAAAGAAGCAAGTGTGACACCTTATTTCAGTATGGTTATAACTTATAACATTTTGAACAGCGGATCCTCATGGATTTTCTTAATTTTTCTTTCTTTCTAGAAGTTCCTTTCAAATTAATATTTCAAGTAAACAAGCAAATTAGTGAATGTCGTTCACTTGGTTTTACTACTCCTAAATATAAACTTCACCGTACGCATAACTTGGACCGCACAGTGGAACTTGATTATTATTGAAACTAGACAAAAGAAAAAGATTTTCTTGGATCTTGGTGTAGGCATCAGACGAGAGATAAAAAGTTTTTAAAAAATTTATATATAAAGAAAAATAATTTTAAAAAAAAGTATTTTATTATATATTTTTACTATTTAGGTGTCTAAATATCACGATCCTAAAGAAATCATTTGTTACCCTTTGCTTCTTTAACAAGATTAAAAACAGGGGAAGTTAGAAAGAAGGCGAAGAAACAATAGAAGGAAAGGTAAAGAAAAGCACATGTTACTTTATTCATTAATTGGACAATACTCATCTATCATATCGGTTCAACTAACACATGGATTACTTTGTCAATAATCAATGAATGTTCACATTATTTATATAATAATAATAACACAAATTTGATTAATTAGTTAGTTAATTAATAATTCTCACAAATCTAGTTTAGTTCAGCCTTGATTACCCGCGCCTCAACGTAACATAACGTAACTAACTAATATACAGACACATCCTCTCTCTCTCTCTCTCTCTCGTGTTCCAACAAACATGGCCTGAAAACCATGCACGAGCTAAGCAACAAATTAAGGCAAAGCAGATTCGCGATTCGCATTGGCCGTAGCGGTTAATTTCCCTTGCGAAGATGGGATTCATGAGCGGCATGTTCATCGGTATCGCCATTGGTATTGGTTTGATCGTTGCTTTCGCTCGTCACGAAAGCGTCCGATCCAAGCGTCGCAAAGATTTGGTACATCCACGTTCATCTCATTTTAACCGTTTCTTTCATTCCATAATAATAATAATGTGAATCTTTTACATGTCGTTTACTTGATCTCACCGTGCGCGTCGTGGTGTGATTTTCGTGAATCGTTTTTAGGCGAAGACGATAGCAGAGTTTGCGAGAATGACGGTGGAAGATTCCAGAAAACTTCTGCCTCCTAATTTCTATCCGTCTTGGGTGGTCTTCACTCGGAGACAGAAGTTGAGTTCATGTACACACTTTTTTCTTATTACGTACTGGACTTTCAATTTTGATCTGGCTTCTGACATTAATTTGTTCATTATCTGCAGTTAAATTGGTTTAATAGCTTACTCAATAAGATTTGGCCGTACGTTAATGAGGTATTTTACTTTTGTTTTTCATTTATTGAATTTCTTGTTACATATTCGTTGAACGTGTTTATGGATCTAGACTTTTGATGCAATGTGGAAATATGCACAGGCAGCGTCGGAGTTGATAAAAAGCAATGTGGAACCCATTCTTGAAGAATATAAACCCGTTATTTTGTCTTCTCTCACCTTCTCCAAGTTGACCCTTGGCACTGTGGCTCCACAATTTACAGGTTCGGTACATTAATGCGAATATTGTCATTTATGTTTATGCCTAATGGGTAGTCCTTTTTATTTTGTACTTGAATGCTCTGTTTGATATGCTTGTCATTGGTTAATAATGTAAGGATTTGAATACTTTGACAATTTTGGCTCATGCTTATGGATTTCTCCTGTCTCTTTATGTTCGCAACCAAGTTGAACAAAGTGAACCAGATGATGATCTTCAATTTATTAAATTGTTGCTCATCCTTGTAATATTGCAAACTTTAACTGCTTGAAATTTCTAGGAGTTACAATTGTTGAAGAGGACAGTGGAGCTGGTGGGGTGACCATGGATCTGGAGATGCAGTGGGATGGTAACCCGAATATCGTCCTTGACATTAAAACAAAAGTTGGTGTTAAACTTCCTGTACAGGTCATACACAAATCATTGCCCACTTATGACATTTTTGCAGGCCGATTATATTTATATAATTAACACAGTTGTGCAAAGTAGTACACTTTAATTTGCCACTCATTTTATTTTGTTGGCAAAACACTGACCCTAAATTCAATCTATGTTAGTATAGCTTTGTGCATTAATTTTAAGTTTTCATTATTTTTCAAAGAGGAAGAGATATTAAGGAACCTTTTTGACTCATGAAGAGATAAATTTATTTACACTACAATATTTGATATAGTCCATCTCGGTTCATTTTCTTTCCTTTTATTATCAAGAATAAGTTGCGTTTTTCAAGCTATAAATTCCTCGCACCTGATTATGCCATGAAGTTTATTTGTCAAATTTTATGTTGCTATTGTTCAATAAATAAATGCTTGGTAATGTACTTCCGGTCAACCACAAAATAATGTACCGAATAAGATTGCCTTTTCAGATTATTATCTAAATGCTATGTCGTATAAAAAATAACTCTGCACTACTTTTTTTAAAAACGTTGCAAATTAAAAAAAGGCTGTCATGCTAGTTCTGATGAATATTATCAACTTTCAACTATATTATTTATCTATCTACACAAGTTTGTCTCCCTACGCTTTAAAGAAATGCATATTTCAGTGCATATGTCTCTGTTTTTTAATACAAACACCAGACATATTCACTTAGGCCTCTCCTTTCTTTACCAAAAGATTTGCATACTGTTCATGATGAATAAGGTGAATAGTTCAACTCAATCTTTTTAGTAGTATCATTAATAACTGCATATGTCAACTTTATTTTAAGTTATTCCTTATCATTCTATTCTTCTCTTTCCTGGCAATTTGTTTATATAGGTAAAAAATATTGGATTCACTGGGGTTTTCAGGTTGATCTTCAAACCACTAGTGAATGAGTTCCCTGCTTTTGGAGCTATTTGTTTTTCCTTGAAAGAAAAGGTGTGTTACATTGTCTAGTTACATATGCCTTTTGTCTTTTGCCGGGAAGATTAAGGGTAATTTACATGAGATTATATAACGGTATCTCTGCTCTTTGATGTCAAGTAACTGGAAACGAACATAGCTTCAGGGCGTGTCAAGCTGTCAGCAACAAAATGCAGATTCGTACTTGGGATATAGCTTTTTGATGTCAATGGGGCTTGTTCAAATATGCATAAATTACAAAATAGAACTATTTTTAAATTTCTTCCTTTTCTTTGTTCTGCCAACAGAAAGATCTGGATTTTACTCTTAAGGTTGTTGGTGGCGATCTATCATCTTTACCGGGGGTATCTGATGCTATAGAGGTATAAGGAAATTATATCTTTATGGTGCTTTTGTTATTCCTTTAATTTTTATTTGTTTGTTGATGCTATATTACAAAATAATGAGCCATGTAGCTAATCTTCATGTTTAACAGGATCTCCTAGTTATAAACTAATTACCAGGCATTATAATATTTTCGTTCAGTTTGATAATCTATAGATCGTTTTGTGGTTTCACAAATTTTAATGGGTACTACCGGTAGTGATTTATATCATTGAAAATCTTTATTATTATTATTATTATTATTAGAGGAATTGAAACACTTCATATTTATTATTATTAGAGGAAGTTTATTATTATTAGAGGAATTAACACTTCATGTCTCTAATAATTATAAATAGACAGAATATTAGAAAGTTGTATATAATTATTTAAAAAAAATTATATTTAAGTATAAAAATCCACTAAAAAGTGAAAATAAAAAACAGTTATATATCTTACTATTTCATTTATAATAATTAAAAATTATTATTATTATTATTATTATTATTATTACTATTATTATTATTTTGATATTTTTAAGAAAATATTTGGTACACGAATATTTTTTTTATTTTTTTTAGAGAATATGACAATGAAAATGTTATTGTATTTTATTTGTTTATTTAATACAATAAATATCATGAATTTTTAAGTAATATTTAAAAATGATTCTCAGGATTTATGATTATTATGAATTATTATTTTTAAATATGAAAAAATTTGTTGTATTTTCCTAGAGGTATTGCTCATACTTCTTTTACTCTCTTTTCCATTCCAAGAATCTCTCTTTTGAAGTTTTTGTAAGTCTTTATTGAGTGTGTTCCAAATTCTTAATAGAGAGTGCTAATTAATCCAGATACATTGTATTTAGAACGTGGTGAACTATAATCAAGAACTAAATATGTTCTTAGTTTTATTTTTTTTTTAATTTTTGATTTTAACCTCTAAACAATTGTTTTACTAATTTTAACCCTCAAATTTTTTATCAATTTTTACTTTTGGTCTCTAGCATAAAAAAATTTGTTCAAAGAAAAAACTTTCAAAAACTAAAATCAAATAAAATTTACTGAAAGACTAAAAAAATAAAAAGTTAACAGAAATTCAAAGATTTATTATCAACTACCTCATTTAGGCATTATTATAATTCGCATTGCATTGTCAATATTCAATAGCTTTTTAATTCATTCAGGACTCTAATTTGGTAATAAACTCCTCTGTTATTTATTAAGGAAACAATTAGAGACGCCATTGAAGACTCTATAACTTGGCCAGTACGCCAAATTATACCAATTTTACCGGGAGATTACAGGTATGTAAAAGTTCGTTCTCACTTTCTTTCCAAACGTGGAAAATATTTTTTTTTATTAAATTTATGTTTTGGGAAGTTAAAAATTGGGCGCTGATAATTAATGATACAAGGACAATATTTTGGATCGAACGGGACATTTTTAGTGACTGGAACCTATATTTTAATGGCAAAGTTGCAAACAAATTCATAAGCATGTGCAATTCCGCTTCACCTGTCCATTAAGAGCTAGACAGTAGATGCTTCTAGAAGTAATTGTAGGTAATATAGTCTGATTTCACTAGGTTGGCAAAATGAAAACCACAGATGAATGCTTAGTCACCGTTTTCTTTGGTGTGTGGGGGGAAGAAGGGTTGGTTGTTATAACAGCTGTTAGAACTATTGATGTAATCCAACAGCAACTACTTACCTTAATGGAGTTGGGGAATGTTTTGAAACTAAAATGTAAAAAATTGTTTGAAAGTAAAATTTCTACCTTACGGTGTCATTACCGGAAAGAGGTTATCCAATCTAGGTTTGACGATTTAAAATTAAAACGTATGCTGATTCAGTGGTTCACCCATTTTCTTTTTGAACTTTGGGCATGGTTTCGTGTTAATGAAACCTATATTAGAGAGTTGCTGCCTTGATTACTGGTGGGTGTTTATTTCATTCAATTTCGGCATGGTAAACTAATTGTGTCATGGTTGCTCGATCGGTGTTTATGTCTTTCTGTTTTCGTTCCAAATCCTTTTTTTGTAGCATTGCCATTTGAGTATCATATTTATGTATTTGAGTGCGTGTGATTGTTTCTTCCTCTCGCAGTAATCTAGAGTTGAAACCGGTTGGAATACTAGAAGTAAAACTAGTGCAAGCAAAGAACTTATCAAATAAAGATGTGATTGGGAAATCCGATCCTTATGCTGTTGTATTTGTACGCCCGCTTCGTGACAGAACCAAAACCAGTAAAATAATCGTAAGACAGCCTTCCTTTCCGATGGAAGCTTACTTTTCTTTTATTTATGGTTGTGTGTGGTTGTAATCCAACTGCTGGGCGTGTTCAGAACAACCAGTTGAATCCAATATGGAATGAGAACTTTGAGTTCATTATTGAAGATGCGTCAACGCAACACTTGACCGTAAGAATTTTCGATGATGAAGGCATTCAGGCTTCTGAGCTTATTGGCTGTGCCCAAGTTTCGCTGAAGGATCTTGAACCTGGTAAAGTCAAGGATGTATGGCTTCACTTGGTTAAGGATTTGGCGGTCCATAGAGATAACAAGTACAGGGGTGAGGTAAGGTAGTATATTCTTAGCATCTTTGAAACATTCAATCTGGCATTCTAGCTGATCAATGCCAATAGCCAATTTGTTTAGAACTTGGCCCGGTGGCATGCGTAGATTATTAAACCAAGGTGCTTTCAAGTTTATTAATTGATGAACACTCCCTAAATTCTGGCCGTTTCTTCGATACTTGTCGTTTGTGTTTACTTATAGTATTCTACTCGTACAAATTCGTATTATAGGAATTCATAAGTCTTCTTGAGCTTTCTGTCATTTTCACATATATACACCATGTAGGTGCACTTGGAGCTCTTGTACTGCCCATTTGGAGTCGAAAACAGCATTAAGAACCCTTTTGACCCTGATTTCTCATTAACCTCGTTCGAGAAGACCCTCAAGAGTGGACCTGGTGACGCAGAGGCTGAGGATACAAGGACACGTAGGAGAAGCAACGTGATTATAAGAGGGGTTCTGTCCGTGACAGTGATTTCAGCTGAAGACTTGCCAGTAGTGGACTTAATGGGAAAGGCTGATCCATTTGTTGTCCTTATGTTGAAAAAAACTGATAAAAAGCTCAAGACCAGAGTAAGATTTTGGACATTTTTCACGGCATTTGCTCTATTAGAGTTTTTTTTATTATTAATTTCAAGAATCACATAACCCCAGGCGTGTGGTTCAGCGGTAGGAGTTGATCCACGCTTAAGCAAGGTCAGGGGTTCGAATCCTACCTTGTGTATGCAGCCGCGTTCGCGAGGAGATTAGTCACTGCTGTCGGCGGTGGATACTCCAGGAACGAACCTAAAAAAAAAAAAAAAATTTCAAGAATCACATGATTAATTCAAATGATTGAATCGATTAGAATCTTGAAGTAGTTTAATTTGAAAGGCAATTAGTTAAAAATTTGTTTTGAATTTACTTGCCAAACACAGATATTTTTAATTGATTCCATATACACGCACTGATTTATATATACTTATAATAGATTGAATAATCTTTATTGTATTCTCAGGTTGTAAATGAATCCCTAAACCCAGTTTGGAATCAAACATTTGATTTTGTTGTGGAGGATGGCTTACACGAAATGTTAATTCTTGAAGTCTACGATCACGACACGTTTGGCAAGGTGATTCTTGAATTTTTCTCATGAGTTTGTTTTTTTTTACTTCTAAGTGCTGCTTGAGTTGGTAACCTCATTCAATAACCTCTAACATTGTCGATAATATTTTGATACCCACCTTTCTTTGGCTCCTCTAGAGCAGTTTTGATAGCTGATGTTTGTGGTTTTATAAATTGAGCAATCATTGCTTAAATTAATAAGCAAGAACGAAATTGACCACTTTCTCTTATTAGTTTTTTTTTTATTTTTTATATTTGTTAGTATGTGATGTGATCATGTTTGTCTGCGTGTTTGGATATTTTTTTTCAAAAGTATTTTTAAGAGAGAAAAATAACAAAAAAAAAAAAAGAATAGATTTTTAAAATTTTTTAATTAATTTATGTATAAATTAATTTTGTAGAAGTTTTTTTAATATAAATTCTTCCAAAATCTTGTTTTTTTTACTCATAAATAAACTAGTTTTAACTTTAAGGAGAAAATTATTTCAATTTTTCTTTTTATATTTTTTTATAGAAGTGTTTTTGAATAAACTTATCCAAACAAATTTTTAATAAGTTGTGAGTCATCAAAATATTAAATTATTTTTTGTGATTGATAGATAGAAAAGAATTAGGGGGAGAGAAAATAGATAGTGAGAAAATAAGAAAAAAAAATTGATAAAAATGAAATAGAAATAAGTACGATTAATTATCATCCATATTTTTAGGATAAAACTTGGATACAATTGATTTTAGTATTTTCCCCTATAAAAATTTGAAATTTATCTCGCTAATTTATGTTGACGTTTAATAAAAAGTTGTTATATATTATTAAATAAAATAAAAACTTTATTTTTAATTGGAAAAATAATGCCAAAAGCATATGTAGAACTGCATTTAAATTTTGTTAATCATCTTTTTAATATTATATTATAATAATGCATTTCTTAAATCAGTATCAAATTGAGTGTTTTCGTAAATGCATGGTTATTTCAGGAAAAAATTGGAAGAGTGATCTTGACTCTGACTAAGGTCATCTTAGAAGGGGAATACAGTGAAACCTTTCCCCTAGATGGAGCTAAATCTGGAAACATTTCTTTGCATTTGAAGTGGGCTGCACAGCACAAGTTCCGGGATCCTTAGAGGTCTATTTTACGTATTTATTTTAGTTTATATTTCAATACATTATAATTATTTTGTTGATTTAGATTTGGCAAACTTCAGTTTTTCATTGATCCGTAGCCTCAAATGGAGAAAATGAGTATGTATCAACAAAGAAAAGCATTACATTCCAGTGTAAATATTGGCCATTCATATTATATTACATTATTTTTGTTTTCTTAAAAAAATAATTTAAATTCAAGGAGATCATCTTAGAGTATTACTAAATTACATATATTAAATTAATTATTCACGTTAACGTAATGGTTAAAATATTTATGACGGAGTACCAAAAGTATTTTGATATAATCGTGAATACATTTTAGATTTGATTTGATTTAGGTTCGATGATTATGTATTTATGTTGAAACCATTATTAATTTATTTTTATTTTTTTTAACTTTTTAGACAATAAACTTCATTGTTTAGAAATTACCGTAGAATTCTATAATGATTCCCCCCCTTAATTACTACTAGGAAACAGTTTAATAATTAAGCAATTTATATAATCAGAAAATAGGTTCTCTTCATTTCTTCCATTTTCTAAATTTAAAAAAAATAAATTAAAGTTAATATATATTTTAAGAAAAGCCACATTTATATTTTAAAATTTTAATAAAAATAATAATAAAATGAAGTTGACTATATTTTAAGAAAAGTCACATATTTACTTTTAAAATTTTAATAACGAAAGAAAAAGAAATGAAGAGGATATTTCATATCAAAAATCTAAATTCAGGACACGTTCTGGGCTGCCACCAGACTTACGTCCAGTCGTACACGATGACATTTTACAAAAATTAGCTGTTAAGTAGTTAATGGCTGTGAAGGTATCACAGCGTAAAAGAGAAGGTATCTCAAATAAGCTGATTTACAAACTATTTTTCAATGAAAGTGTTTTCAAGAAATTTACGTAAAGGAAATTGTTTAGAAGTTATTACCACTTTCATATATTATATTTTATTAACTATTATTTTCATATTTTTAGAAATATCAGCATTAAAGTTAGTATGATATGATAAGAACTAGATTAAAAAAAAAATACATGTATGTGCAATAATAAAAAAATTTAAGTGTAAAAAATCATTATTTTAATATTATTACTAAAACAAATAATAATAATAATAATAATATAAAGAGAAAATAAGTTATGTTTACATCATGTATATTAGTGCCATTTAATTATAAACTATGGTATTAATAAATTTATTGACTTTTATTATAAATAATAAGTAAAAAAAAGTTATATAAACAGGGAGTTATGATATAAATAGTGAATTATAATAGTTTGATGGTGCATGAGTGTATACTGATTGAAGTGTAATATAAAATGATGATCGATGCATATGATGAGAGGAAGAAATGAACCATAGTGAATTACGTGGTCCACTCAGCTGAATGGTTGCTGGTTGTGTTGATCATGAAGACTGATAGTTGTACACTGTACTACTACTTCCTTCCCTTTCCCTTTCCCTTTCCCTTCTCATTCTAGTCCTTTCCACACAACTTCCATTCTCATGGATGACCCTCCCAACCCCAAACAACGCCTCTTAACTCTCCTCAACGCCCTCCAAGAAGCTTCCAATCACCTCCACACCACCACCACCCCTTTCTCCTTCCTCTTCAAAACCGATTCCCGCGCCGCCATCGACGCTCTCCTCGACCTCGAAACCAAGGCCCACGCCGCCTTCTCCTCCGACCCAAACCTCCGCACCCTCTCCCACACCCTCTCCTCCCTCCGCACCCAAATCGAAAACCTCCACAAGTTCCAAGGCTACTCCCCCCGATCGCTCCTCACCCGCCACCTCACCCTCCACAAAATCTCCCACCTCGCCCGCACCCTCCACGCCCAAATCCAATCCTACCTCGACCGCCTCACGCTTCGCGACCTCGTCCACGCCCTGCAACACCCTTCCCCCGAGGAAGACCAACAGCAGATTGACGCTCTGCTGGACTTCCGAGAGAGGCTCTCCCGGGGCTTCGATTTAGGGTTCCAGGATTTGGTCCTGAGGGCGAAGGTGTTCACGCTTCTCGAGTGCGTCCTCTTCCAAAGTTCCTATTCGGAGCGGGTTAAGGAAGAAGCGGCTATGGCAATAGCCGCGTTGGTTAAGTTTAACAAAAACGTGTTCGTGGGCCTGGTGCTGATGGGCCCAACCATAAGAGCCCTAATAGCGATGGCATCGAGCTGCTCGCTGCGGGTCTTGGCGGAGCTGATTAGGTTCATTCGGAGCCCGTTAGTGGACGAGATCCTGTGCGGCGGGGAGATCCCGAGGATTTTAGGGTTTCTCCGATCGCGGGATTTGGGGGTGCGCGTGGCGGCGTTGGAGTGCGTGATGGAGCTCGGGTACATTGGGAGAAGGGAAGTGGTGGAGGCGATGGTGCAGCGGGGGTTGGTGGAGACTCTTATGGAGTTGCAGAGAGGGGGGTGTTGCGAGAGTGAGTGTAATTCTGCTTTTGAAAGTTGCGTTTCAAGGTTTGCAGTTGAGGTGGAGGTGGGGGAGGGGTTGAGCGCAGAGGAGAAGAGAGATGTTAAGTTGGAGATTCTTAGGATCGTGAAGGAAGCTTCTGAATCTGAGGCTGAGGCTGCCTCTGTTAGTGCGGAAATACTGTGGGGTTCTTCGCCTTGAATCAGACTAACTTACTGCTTTTGTTTGCCGGCTTAGTTAGGCTTAGCCCACTTCTTTTGGTTGAGTGCTGTTGTCCACCGTGAAACTCATCAAAACATAATTCATTTCTGTGTATAGTACTATACAATAAGAGCCACACACAACTAAATTTGTTACTTTATGTTTCATTCATTCTTCATAACATTTTTCTCTGCTTCCATGAGCCCCTCTTATAATTCATTTCGTATCAAATTGGTTTTCAAGTTCACATTTTATTAGGTTGACTTTAGTACTTAAGTTTACATTTTATTCTTTTATTTTCATCATTTTACAAATTTAATCGCAATTTTACAAATTGACTTCTTCCATCATTATTAGTATTCATTAAATCATGTAATTTCTTTTAACAACAATATTCATAATTTTTAATGGATTTTTTAAAAAAAATTTAATTAATCACTTTTAATAAAGTCTCTTATAATAATTAAAAAAAAAAACATGACTAATTTAAAATTATGTCACTTATGTTATAGTTCACTTCGTAAACATGTTCTATGAAGTCATACAAATAATAATAATAGAAGAAATCATTGATAGTTTTTTATTTTAGATGATTATAAAAGTGTTACTTTAAATGAATTTAAGGTATATTTCGAGAAAAAAAATCTCTAAAAGCACTTTTTGGAAAATATGAAAGAAAAATAAAATAAACTTTTTATAAGTTAAAATTAACTTATGTGTAAACTAATTCATAAAATTAGCTTTCTGAAGAGAAAAATATGAAAGAAAAATGAGTTGTGTTTGTATGTGTATTCTATAAATTTAAGGGATTTCAAATTTTTGGTATTAAGATTTTTTGTGTATATAGATGAATAAAATCAAATAAAGAAAATTACGTGAAATCTAAACTAACTTCATGTAAAATAAAATTTGGAGGATTCTTTTATTTAACAAATGTCGAACTAGATCTACCTCTTCATCTGATCAACACAAAAGTAATAACATTGCTTTTTCTATGAGTCCTTTTGCAATACATTTGTCAATCACAAACTAAGAACTCTCTAATATTGGTGATAATATCTACATGTTTATATGTCTTGAACAATCAATTTGCACATACTCATGAATGGTAAAGATGACAATTACATGATTCAACTCACAAAATAAATTTAAACCCCTCTTCCCCACACAGACACAATCTCGCCTCCAAAGTAATAAGTTGTGCACGTATGGGGATTCCTCCTTCAAATGAGTTCGCAAATCCCCATTTCTATCTACTAACAACATCCTTCACCACTCCACCAATCCCCATCACTCAAGAATTTTTTAACCAACTTTTATCAACATTCAACTTGATAAAGGGATAATCTGGTGGACTCTATTTGACACGTTGTTGCCAAAAAGACTTAGACCTCAAATAGAGTATATTATATGATATATCTAATGTAATATTTCTCACAACATAATTCACAGCCCACGACTGATTTGTCTTAAAGACCATATGGTTTTATAAATGCCAAATTCACCATGCCCCAACTGTCAACCTTGCTACATCTGGATTATTAACCAAGTTCTTAAACCATAATAAACTACTCATAGTAGAGAAAAAATAGGATGGCATATTCCTTATTCGCATCCAAAATTCTCTCAAATGAGGGCAGAAACGCACGCACAACACGTAGTATAGATTTCATCCCATGTGAACATCTCATGGAAGCTTACTCAAAGCTAAATCATTATACAGTTGAACCTCATTAACTAAAAGGGCATTATGCAGACCCTGCCAAATAAAGAACATATTCTCTAGTATAGACAACTTCTTAAGCCATTTGCATTATGATGTTTTCGTAGTTTGTCCCTCTGTGCATAATGATTGGAATCTCATTATTGCAATATAGTTACATGATGGGTCACCCATCCATTTAAACATGTCAATCTTTGTCAAATTCATAGGTATATGCACTGATAAAATGCGATCAACCACCTCTTGAGGGAGTAATGTGTACAAATTGTTCAAGTTGTAAGAAGCCTTATGCTAACATTCAACAACTTTGGTCTCAAAATAGATAATGTGTATGTCTCACTCTCAATCAATCTTCATACCAAAAAGAAGAACTTTTTGAACCAAGACAAGAAGCAAAGTCATCCTTAAGAAACAATAATGCTTTAAGAATGTTTGCCTAGATACAGTGACGGATCCAGAAATTTTAGATAGTGGAGGCAGTATTTATTTATATATTAATAATATTAAAAATTTTACATATAAATTTAAAAAGTATAAATATATATTATAATTATTTTTTACAAGTTTTTATAATTATGATTATGATTAAGGATGAAAATAAGTTAGATTAGACTATGCTATATTATAATTTAGTAGGTATGAATTTAACCTTTTTTTGTAAAAAAAAATAATATGTCTTAAAAATGATTTATTTATTTATCATAGATATTTTTTATGTTTGATTAAAACTACAATCCTAAAAATATACTTTATAACAATTTAATACTAATAAAAATATAAAAATAAATATATTAAATTGTATAAAAATCAAGTTTAATTTATTAATAATATAAACATG